CCCCCCCCCCCAGAGTTAAGGTCGTGCTCTCTTCAATTCTTCTCTAATCTAAACATGGATTTACCAAGCATAGCATAGATAGTAAATCTAACTGATGGCCAGACAATTAAGCAATTAGTCACAGAATTAAAGAAACAACCATATATTGGTGAAGTGTAATCAAGGTTAAGTCAACGTTAAACAACAATATTCATAGCTAAATCACAACCCCAGAACTATGGATTTTAGCCACTCATGATAATATCAAACAAATTCATAAGTGTTGGATAATTGAAAATACTAAGAAAAGATGAAGAAAACTGAGATCTCTTCACTCCCGAATGTTTCTCACGTGTCTTCTCTCTTCAAAGTGACGTCCCCCCGCTAAAAATAAGCTTACTCTTGCTTTTATACGCGTTGGGTAGGTCTAGGGCTAAAATAACCTTGTCACGGGCAAACTTGGATAAATTCACGTCACCAGCGTCCAGCCCAGCGCCCCACACTAGCCCTGGCGCTGGCTTATGAAACTTTCTGCCAAGGGCGCCACATGTGGCGTGGAGCGCTGCCTGTGGCACTGAAAATCCCAAATTTTCTTTTTTCATCCGTTTTGAGTTTAATCACTCACCTTTTGCCTCCAATTGCTTCCGGATGATTCCTACACATAAAAACACCCCAAATTAATATAAATCAACACATTTTACATTCAAATTTCATGAAACACGAGTAAAACATGAGGCGATATACATATAAATATATATACTTTAAGCTAAATATCAACACCCCACACTTAGACTCTTGCTCGTCCTCGAGCAATAAGAATATCAACTATACCCCCAACTACATACAAATCTCAACTATAGAGGAGCACTTCAACTTTTAGCCATGCATTCTACCCTTGACTATGATCAATACCGGCAATCAAGCTTGAACATGCAAAATTTACATTCTTCCCGTTTTAAGCACGTCCAAGTATAACAATTTCAATTAAATACAAACAACCTATCCATAACTAACCAACCTCAAGAGTCAACTCGTCACCACTAAGCACCCTCAACTCGCGCACTCACCCAACAAGAAAAATTTACAACATTACCAATCACTCATGAGATTAGGTGCCCTCACCAACAAACAAAAGAGTGAATATAGAATAGTCCACACATTCAAATATGCTTTTGAATATAAATTAAGGACATCACACAATTGAACAAAATTCGCTCACTTTCACAAAGAATTCATATGCATCTCGTGGTCGTACCATAAGCTTGCCCGTAATGGACATATCTACTAATCTAAGCTAGCCAAATCTAGGATCAATTAGGACTTTAAGGTTGTAATGTAGGCTAAGGGACGAGTATGATACATTTAGGAATAGTGACTAACCCTCATAAGCACTTTAATACACTACACTCACAATTCGAGCACATCTTCTTCTCAACTAATTCACTTGCCATAATCCATATACAACATAGCCCTTATTTGCATTAAGTACTTCCATACCCTCACTAGCACAAATTAGTAAGATTCGGAGGTGTGTGTTTTTCTACATTATTTGAACTATCAAATTTTTTTCTTTTTTTTTTACACACTCTCCATACATGAAAGTTCATCGGCTAATGACTTTTGATTTCTACTTTAGTGCACCATAGGGTCCTTCCATGGTTTCACTCAAAATTTACTCCCCAAATCTCTCACCTTACTTCTTTTAGCTACTAAGTTCGTTAGGAGGTAAAGGTTCAACAATCTCAAATTAAGAACAAAATAGGGGAAAGGCTTGTAATGTACCACCAAAAGAAAGGTCTATAGGCTCAAAAGGGCTAGCAACGGAAAATTTTATCTTCAAGTGACAAGCATATCAATACTCTAACAAGAAACGCCTATTCCATCTACTAGATTAGCACAACTTAACAATTTCGCTTCGATTAACATACGGGGCAAGTTCTAGCACTATTAAAAAATCTAGTTTTAGCGACGGACAAATTCTGTAGCTAAACAGAAAAATCCATCGCTAATCTTATTTAGCAATATATTAGCGACATATTATCAAGAAATTCCACTAGCTACTGGCGATTTAGCGACACATTAGCGACGACGTTCGTAGCTAATTTCAGTTTTTTTGTAGTGTAGACTACACAGGATAGCACAAAGAATTTTAATTCCTCACAAAAACATTGCACATGACTCCATCAAGACGGTTTTGTTCAACTCTCAAGTCAAGCAAGTACATATAATTGAGAAAATTAAGCATTAATGCACTATGTGTATACAAGTCGAACAACTGAGAAAAAGCGTCACAAAATAGGTTATTTACTTTACTTTGACGTCACGATTCAAACCATATGCACGGGAAGAGATAATATATGTCATAGCCTAATGTGCCAGCATTAACCACGTCAATGAGTATCTCAGAGCAACCTCATTTCTTCCTAACCTACTCCTAAAAAAATTAATAATAAAAATAAAAAAATAAAATATCCGGTTCGAGATACACCATTGGAAAAGAACCGGCGTCCAAATAAAAACCAAGAGATACTACCTAACTATCCTAAAGAAATTTTGTTAGTGTTTCGACTCGGACTTTATCCCTCAAGAAAATTGTCCAACAGATCCATCGTCGGGAAAAGTCCGAGCTTTTTCTAATTTTTTTTTTTCGTTTTTTTTTATTTTTTATTTTGAGAACCTAGACTATGTCTACTACGAGTTCTAAAAGAAAAACTAATAAAAAATACTTTAATGCAATTACACTTCAGAAAGTAGTTTCCTCACCCCACAATTATTTTATGCATAGTCCTCGATGCATGATCACAGACAAAAATATTTAAACAAGGATGAGAAATACTCCCTGAGACCCTCTCGGGCCTAGCTTGGACATGATCCTCAATATTAAGGGTCGGGACGACCCCACACTTAAGCTAAAAAATGCTCCTCAGCTTCAACTTCGGGTACTCAGACTTTTCTTACTCTGTAAAATAAAAACAACACAAACCTTGACACTAAATAAAATAATAAATTAAAAATACAGGTTGGGTTGCCTCCCAACAAGTGCCTTATTTATAGTCGCGGCAAGACGCAGAGCCTCGCTCAGGCCGGGAGCTTTCTCTTCTCCTTCTTTCTCCCATGAAGTCTAGCCTTTTTGCACGCTCTCGGAAGGTATACTCTTTCATCTCTAGCTCTTTTCTCAATCATCTTCACACACTCAGCATGAAACACCACCTCCTCTAACTCAGTTGTCCCATCTGGATTACTACAATTCACATAAGAACTCTGCTCTATCCCCTTCAATTCGACCATAGTAATCATGCACAAGTCCTCATAATGCCTAGGGAGCTTAAGTTCCCTGTACACATTAAAAGGGTCTTCCTCATCGTCAACTCTCATCTTCAACTTCCCTTCCCTCACATCAATAATCGATCCACCAGTAGCTAAGAATGGTGGCCCCAAAATAATGGACACTTCCTTATTTGCCTTGTAATCAAGAACAATACAATCAGCAGGAAGAATAAACATTCCCGCTCGAACTAACACGTCCTCGATAATTCCTTCTAGCATAACTAGTGATCTATCTGCTAACTGTAAAGTAATTGTAGTAGGTCTACGCACCCCCAATCCGAGTTCCTTGAACAAAGAGGATGGCATCAAATTTATACTAGCCCCTAAATCACAGAGGGCTCTACCAACTTCTTGTTTTCCAAGAGACAGAGGAATTGTGAAACTCCCAGGATCCTTCAACTTAGAAGGAAGTTTACTCTGAACTCTAGCACTGCACTCTTCAGTAAGTGCAATTGTTTCAAGCTTTGTATGTCTTCGCTTGTTGACCACAATATCTCTGAGATACCTTTCATACTTAGGCACTTCCTGCAAAATTTCCACCAAAGGCAAATTCACCGGCACTTGGTTCAAAATATCAAAGAATTTCTTGTACTTAGCCTCAACTTTTTGCTTCTACAGTCTTTGTAAAAACGGAGGTGGTGGCCTTGTCACAATTATTGGCTCTGATCCTTTGCTCTCTTTCTCATTCTCCTCAATTGGCTTGGGAACTAATTCTCCTTCAGGACTAGCTGTATACTTCTTTTTATTTGGAACTTCTTCTAATGCTCTTCCATTTCTCAAGGTAACCACATTGACTTGAGCTTTAAGATTAGGCTCAATATCACTAGGAAGAGCCCTAGCTGGTCGAGTATTTTGAGCACTGGCAAGTTGCCCCATTTGTCGCTCCAAATTTCTCATCGATGTTGTTTGGGCCTGCTGGTCAGTCATTAATGTTTTCATCATCTCTGTTGTTTGAGTCTACTGGTCAGCCATTAATTTCTTCATCATCTCCTTAAAGTGACTCGTCGAGTTTGCATGTTGTTCAGCCTGAGGTGGTCTATATTATTGTTAAGGTGCTTATGGCCTATACTGATTCTGAGAACTTTGGTTTCCACCCAAAGAAAAGTTTGGGTGGTTCCTCCAGTTAGGATTATAAATGTCCCCATACTAATTTGCCTAGCCTCGATTTGCATTACCCATAAAATATACAGACTCTGGATTTGCTGGGCATAGATTACTCATGTGACCTTTTCCACAGACTTCACAAAACATTTGAATTTGTTGAACTGGCTGGGCTTGTTTCTTGTTAATAACCAAGGTCATCTGATTGACTTGGTTGGTCAATATGGAAATTTGTGTTGATAATGCCGAGACGACATCTAACTCGAGAACCCCTTCAGATTTTTGCACTGTGTGTCTGCCCATCTCTCCTTGCCAATCAGGATTGCTTTTGGATAATTTGTTCAATAATGCATATATCTCATCAAAGTTTTTCTCCAACACTTGACCTCTAGATGCAACATCTACCACAATCTTTGTCTTGGGATGTAGCCCTTCTATGAAAGTGTGAGCTAACACTTCATTTTTCTTATTGTGATGAGGACAGTCTCGAAGTAGCCCCTTGAACCTCTCCCAAGATGAGTATGAAGACTCCCCCACTTTCTGTTCGAAGGAGACTATCTCACTTTTGATCTTTACAGTTTTGCCTGAAGGGAAGAACCTTGCCAGAAATTTCCTTGCCAGATCATTCCATGATGTAATAGAATTAGCTGGTTCGGCCTTCAGCCATCGCTTTGCTTCGCCCAATAAAGAGAATGGGAAAAGTGTGAGCCTCGCATAGTCTAGAGTGAATCCGTTTGTGATATAAGTATCAGTAATCTCCAAGAAGTTCAGGATATGTTGTTGAGGATCCTCATGTGGAAGACCCATAAACTGCTCATTCGCATGAAGTAGCTGAATCATGCTCTGTTTCAGCTCAAAGAACCTAGTGATTCTGGGATTCACAATGCTGGAGGTGACATTAGCAATGTTGGGTATCGCCACCTCCTGAACATCCATATGTTGCTCCCCTACCATGTTCACAGGAAATTGAACAAGTGCCTGAAGATTATTTGTGTCCTTTGCTTCCCTCAATCTACTATGAAATGTTTGGGGTCAAAGCCATGAAGTCTGTCCTTGCTTCTGACCCTCCGCATTCAATCAAAGTTCTTGAGAGCAGAGCAACAATCAAGTAACGTTAGACTTGACGAAATAAACAATTAAAGCAAAAACTAGAAAGTAGTCAATTTTCAAGTCCCCGTCAACGGCGCCAAAAACTTGTTGCTCCCAAACGCAAACCCAAGTATACGTGGTCGTACAAGTAATAAAATGATAAGTCGAGTGTCGAACCCACAGAGACTTGTATTAACTACCCACTAAATTCGCCAAGATTGTTATTCGGTAGAGCCAATTCGAGTTCAAAAGTGTGATTATACTAAACACTAATTCTAACTAGTAACTAAATTATCAAGCAGCAAAATGATTATTATGTATTCAGCAGAGGCAAATATTCCAGGGTTGTGATCGATTCATCAATCCTATTATATTCTAGTTAACTCTCCCTTTCATACAATTCACTCATGGTTGCTAATTAATCGAACAATTTCTCTCATAGCCTTCTCCTGAAGTACTACTCGCCTATTCAAAATAGATTAACGCCTATATTCCTATAAAATCAATCTATTAAGAAGCATTAAGATTACGATATTTAATTAAGCACGGTAACTAGGTATATTCATATCCTAACCACAAATCTGCCTCCCTCAGAGTTAAGATCGTGCTCTCTTCAATTCTTATCTAATCTAAACATGGCTTTCCCAAGCATAGCATAGATAGTAAATAGAACCTAACTACTAGCCAGGCAGTTAAGCAATAAATCACAGAATAAAAGAAACAATCATATATTGGTGAAGTGTAATCAAGGTTAAGTCAACGTTAAACAAAAATATTCATGGATAAATCACAACCCCAGAACTATGGGTTTTACCCAGTCATGATAATATCAAACAAATTCATAAGTGCTGGATAATTGAAAATACTAAGAAAAGATGAAAAAAACTGAGATCTCTTCTCTCCCGAATGTTTCTCGTGTGTCTTCTCTCTTCAAAGTGGCGTCCCCCCTCTAAAAATAAGCTAAGTCTTGTTTTTATACGCGCTGGGTAGGTCTAGGGCCGAAATAACCTTGTCCCGAGCAAAATTGGATAAAATCACGTCACCAGCATCTAGCCCAGCGCCCCATGCTGGCTTATGAAACTTTGTGCCAAGGTCGCCACAGGTGGCGTGGAGCGCTGCCTGTGGCGCTGAAAATCCCAATTTTCCTTTTTCGTCTGTTTTGATTCTAATCTCACACCTTTTTCCCTCAATTGCTTCCAGATGATTACTACACATAAAAGCATCTCGAATTAATATAAATCAACACATTTTACATCCGAATTCCAAGAAACATGACTAAAACATGAGACGATATATATATATATATATATATATATATATATATATACCTTAAGCTAAATATCAATTTTCAAGTCTTCAAAGAATTTTGTGACCTTTGCGCCTATGAACTATGGCCCGTTGTTGTAGGAAATTTCCTTCGGTATCCTAAATCGGCAAATTATGTTCTCCCATAGGAAATCGACCACTTCGCGTTCACTGATTTTCTAGTGAGGACCTGTTTCAACACACTTTGTGAAATAATCAGTTAAAATTAAGTGAAATATTACCTTCCGGGAAGCTGGTGGCGGCGGCCCGACTATATTCATCCCTCATTTCATGAATGGCCATGGGAAAAATACCGAATGCAGCAGTTCTATCGGTTGGTGTACTAACGGTGCATGTCATTGACATTTGTTGCATTTCTGAACGAACGCTTTAGTGTCTTGTTCCATCGGTGGCCAGTAGTATCCTGCCCTATCTAGTTTTAGTACCAACAAGTCTGCACCCATATGATTTCCACAAATCCCCTCGTGAACCTCTTTCATCATGTAATTAGTTTAGGAGGCGCCTAAGCATCGGGCCAACGGGCCTTGGAATGACCTTCTATATAATTGTCCTCCCCAGAAGCTGTAACAGGCTGCTTTGGTATGGAGTGCCCGGGATGCCTTCGGGTCTTCAGGTCTTCGGGCATCTTGCCATGCTTAAGGTAGTCGATGATTTCATTTCTCCAGTCCCAGACCAAGTTGGTTGTATTTACTTTATAATAACCATCCACGTTTAGTACGGAGTGCATAAGCTGTACGACTGTATCGGAATCTGATCCCTTCATTTTCGTGGACGAGCGTAGATTGGCCAATGCATCTGATTATGCATTTTCTTCTCTTGGGATGTGAGTAATTGACCATTCCCTGAGTCGTGCGAGTAGTGTTTGAACTTTCACCACATATTGCTGCATGCGTTCTCCTTGGTGTCGAATATTCCATATACTTGATTTACTGCCATTTGGGAATTGCATTTGATTTCAGTGATCTCGGAGTCTAGTCCCTGGGACAGTTCAAGTCCTGCAATCAAAGCCTCATACTCGGCTTCATTGTTAGTCAAGGGAACAGTTTTTATGGCCTATCTCAGGACTTTTCCCGAGGGCGTGACTAGATTCACCCCGAGCCCTTTCACATTGGAAGTTACGTCTGTGAACAAGGTCCAAACTCGTGATGTCGTGTCCGACACCATCACAGCTTCCTTAATGGCCAAAGGCAAAAGTCAGTACTGAAATCGGCCACGAAGTCGGCCAAAACTTGCGATTTGATCGTAGTCATGGGTTTATATTTGATGTCAAATTCACTTATTTCGATAGCCCATTTGGCCAGTCGGCCTGATAATTCAGGTTTATGAAGGACATTCTGCAGGGAAAACGTTGTCATCACGGCTATCGACTGGCATTGAAAGTAAGGCCTAAGCTTTCGAGCGGCGACTACGAGAGCTAAGGCTAATTTTTCGAGGTGCGGATAACAAGTTTCCGCTCCCATTAAAATGTTGCTAAGATATTAAATAGCATATTCCATACCTTCGCCTTCTCGTACTAGAACGACACTTACCGCTACCTCTGAGACCGCTAAGTATATTAGCAATTGTTCACCTTTCTCCGGTTTGATAGTAACAAAGGGCTTGATAATTACTGTTTCAGGTCATTTAGGGCATGCTGGCATTCCGAATCCATACGAAGTTGGTCTTCTTCTTCAGAAGTGAGAAGAAGTGATGGCATTTTTCCGAGGATCGAGAAATGAACCTTCTTAGAGCGGCCATTCTTCTGATTAGACGTTGGACTTCTTTCATGTTTATCAACTAGTCTGGAATGTCCTCGATGGCTTTAATCTTGTTGGGATTGATTGATCCCCCTTTGCGATACCCGGAAACCCAAAATTTTACCTGAGCTGACTCCAAACGCACACTTTTAGAGATAAAGCTTGATGTTGTGCTTCCTTAGTATGTAAAAGGTTTCCTGGAGGTGCTTTAGATGGTTGCTTACGTTCAAAGACTTAACCATCATATCATCTATGTAAACTTCCATTGTTTTCCCTATTTGCTTTTCGAACATTTTGTTCACGAGCCTCGATAAGTGGCTCCGGCATTCTTAAGCCCGTAGGGTATCACATTGTAGCAATATATGCCAAAGTTCGTAATGAACGAAGTTTTTTCCTGATCCTCCAGGTTTATTTTGATTTGGTTGTACCCGAAATAGGCATCTAGAAAACTCATCAACTCGTGCTCGACCATTGCATCAATCATTTGATCAATGTTTGACAAGGAAAATGAGTCTTTCGGGAACGCCTTATTCAGATCCTTATAATCTATGCACATGCGAAATTTATTATTCTTTTTTGGAACTACTATTGTGTTAGCAGACAGTAGGGATACTTTACCTCCCA